GGCTTAGCCCATGGACGTTCGGAGGCCGAATCGTGGTCGTAAAGCTGAGGAAGGCTGGAGGTGCCCGGGGATGGGCGGGAGGGAATCCTCGCCGCTCGCTCTCTCACCCATCCTGCGTGTGATGCCCTCCAGGAGATCGGCCACCTGCCGTTGCCCACTGGCAATCAGGGCCTTCTCCTGCACCAGGTGCTCCAGGTTGCTGGACAGCGAGTCCTCCATCTGCGCCTGGCCGTCTCGCAGCGTCTCTTGCCGGGTGAGCAGCTCCTCCTGGGCGCTAACGACGCGTTGCAGGGACTCCGAGGTGAGCAGCTTCAGCTCCTCCTGGCTCCTCTGTCATGGGAGGGAGGGAGAAAAAAAATAATAATACAACAACATAGGAACAACACTGAAAAACAAACAAACAAAAAAGGCTCACGAGACAAGTTTGAACTTCCTTTTCGTCGTACACAATTTAGTTTTATTCAGCGCTAGCTCGGGAGCCGCGCTTCGCTACGAGAAACTATGTGATCGGGCTTAGCTTTAGTGGTGCGGGGGCAAATTCCGCCTCTGCCTACCAGCATCCATAGGTATTCATCCGGCTAGCGTCCTGAGAGAGTTGAGGGCTGTTTGGAAACTGAAAAGAGTATTTGCTGTGTGAGCAAGAAGGAGACAGCAAGGAGCCTGGGCGTGGCTTAGCTCAACTGCTCTGGACTAAAGCTACTTGGGGCTGGGAAAGTGAAACTCCTCTCCTCTGCTTATGTTTTGGATTTGGAAGATATTTCTTTTCAGGTGGGGAGGGGGAGTAGAACTCCTTAGCGTCTGTAACGACCCAGGTCGGGGCACAAAGCCAACGCAGTCACGTAAGTTAGAAAAGTCCCTTTAATACCTCCAACACTGCCCCCCGCATGTCCAGTTACCTTCGGCTGGGAGAAAAAAAACTCTCCCAAGAACAGCCTTGAAGTGGAGGAAATTCAGTCCGAAAACAAAGTACATATAAACTGTAACTAAAAATCCACACAAACCACGCTGCAGCAATTATCTGGACGGGATAGGAGAAGGAACTGCAGACGTGAAAGGCCAGCAAAACACACAGACAGTTGGGAAGATGCCAGGAACCCAGATAAGCCTCGACAAAAAAAGATAACTCACGGTTTGCTTCCAGCAACTTTGCTGCACGCAGCTTCCCTTTTTAAACACTGAGTTCCCAGCTGCAGCTAATGAAGGGACTCAGGGCCCTTTCCTTCCCTGTAAGCCATAGAACTCACGTTGCTCCCTTCTCCCTTCCTCCCCTAGGATGAAGAAGGGGTGGGCCTGGGTCTTCCTCTGAATTCCCTCTTCCTTGTTCTACCTCTCCCCTACTCTGCCCAGCTGGACTTTGCCTTTCCCCAATTTCTTCCACAGCCAATGGAGCCACACTCCCTTTCAGCTGCTCAGCCTCCCCCTCCGAATCAGATTCCAACAGGGAATTGTACGTGGGTTTTGTTTTTTTCCCCCACAATTACGACCTTGGCAGCATCCCCATGGTCACGTGACCCAAGTTTGGATGCTTGGCAACCAACACTGGGGGACTGACTCATATTTAGGGCGATTGCAGTATTCCAGGGGTCACGTGATCCCCTTTTGCGGCCTTCTGACCAGCGAGGAAGCCAGATTCACCTAACAACCGGGTTACTAACTTATCCACTGCAGTGACATGACAAAACGCAATAATAAAACTCACTTAGGAAATGTCCCACTTAACGGCAGAAATTGTGGGCTCAATTGTGGCCGTAAGTCGAGGACTACCTGTATATATTTTGAAATCGTTGTGAAATTGACTGTGGAGATTCTCGGTCATGGTTGTCTCAAAGGTGCTTTATTTTTATTTATTTTTCAAGAGGGAAAAAACTGGACTTTCTTGTCATTCCATAAGTCGCTGGAATACCGGAAAAGCTCAGGAAGGTCTTCAGCTGACACAACACACGTGCAAATTTCAAACCCAAGACTACACTAAGCCAGCAGCTTGTCCACCCCAGGGATAAAACACCCAGACACAAACTGAGCAACGTGGGGTATGAGCAGTACAGTGCAGCGAGCTATGCGCAGATCTGTACACTGGGGAAACAAAACAGCCACCTCACAATCGCATGGTGTAACATAGAACAAACCCACCAGGACAAGGGTAATGACCCAGGGGATGACACAAAAATAAAAAAGTCACAAAAGTAGAATAAATTCCCTTTAAGGCCTCCAACTTGGGTGTCAATGTCCAGTTATCCTTGGCTGGATATCAAACTCTTCCAAAAACAGTCTACAAATGGAGTAAATGCAGTCCGAACCCAAAGTAAAGATAATTAGAAATTTAAAAAAACCAACACAAACCATGCTGAAGTCGTTAACCTGGCAGGCCAGGATGATAAATTGCAGACTTCCACAAGATAACTTGCAGCAACCACAGTTGGGAGGACGCCAAAGCTCAGATAAGCCTTGACCAAGATAATGCACGCTTTGCTTCCAGCAAGGAGTCGTGTGCAAATGCCCCTGTTCTCCCAGCTGCAACTAAATGAAAGGGATCAGGGCCTTTTTCTCTCCCGTAAGCCACGTTGCTCCCTTTTCCGTTCCTCCCTGCACACCCTAGGATGAAGAGGGGGTGGGCCTGGGTCTTCCTCTGAATGGCCAGCCAGACTGTGCCCTTCCCCCGTTTCCTCCACAGCCACCGGAGCCCCACTCCCACTCCCTGTCAGCTGCTCAATCTCCCCCTCAGAATCAGATTCCAACAAGGGCAGACAACAAGATTCAGCACTTTCATCTGCATTTCAGAGACAAAGGCCACTCTTTGGAAGACAGCAAAGTCCACCTTTTGGACAGAGAGGACTGCTGGTTTGAAAGAGGGATCCAAGCGGCCATCTGTGTCCACACTGAACGGCCCTCCCTCAACAGATGGGGAGGGATGTGACATCATCTATCTCCAGTCTACAACATACGATTTGCACCAATCACGTGGACAGGAATGCTGTTCCCTTCCCACCGAAGTGGTACCTATTTATCTACTTGCATTCGCATGCTTTCGAACTGCTAGATGGGCAGGAGCTGAGGCAACCAATGGGAGCTCGCCCGGTTGCGTGGAGCTCGGGTCTCGAACCTGGGCTGGTAAAGGCTGCCCAGAAAACTCAACGTTAGCTTGGAATAAAAGTCTATAGAGATTCTCAGTTATCCAGGTCATGGTTGTCCTCAAAGTGCTTTTTTCAGGAGGCAACTGGACTTTCTGAGGTTTTTTTCTTTGAAGACGTTTCGCTTCTCATTTGAGAAGCTTCTTCAGCTCTGATTGGATGGTGGGGAATGGAAGGATTGATACTCCTTGCAGGCAGCTGGTCATTTGCATCCTTTTAGAGGGTCGTTGAGGGCACTTGGAGGTTTACCTGTGTTTTCTCAGGGTCAGCTGAGTAGTGTTCCTAGTTCTTTAGTAATTGCAGACCACAGGAACCATTTGCACTACTCAGGTCATCCTGAGGACCCAGATAAACCTCCAGGCGGCCTCGACGGCTCGCTAAAAGAACGCAAATGACCAGCTTTGTCTGCAAGGAGTACAAATCCTTCCGTTCCCTGTCATCCAGGCAGAGCTGAAGAAGCTTCTCGGATGAGAAGTGAAAAGTCTTCAAAAAGAAAAACAAGAAAGTCCAGTTGAAAAAAAAAAAACAGCACCTTATGTTGTGAAATTGAACGCCGCCAGTTTCGACATTCACCCCAGCACACACACACACGCACACACACATACACATACCAATCTCCAGACCAAAACTGAGGAACACAACAGTTGGTCCGATCCGAACCTTGAGCGTTTTCATCGCCTCCAGCTGGCTGACGGCGGTGGAGACCAGGGTGTTCACGGTATGCTCCGCCCGGCGCTTGAACTGCATCTGGCGGGTGGCGTAGCAGACGGCCCGGGCTCGGTTGCTGACGATGTGATAAGCGTTCCAGGTATCCGGATCCATCCCGGATGTGCATTCCGCCAGGGCCTTTTAGAAAAGAATAGAAATCGGAATAGAATAGAAATTGGAATGGAATGGAATAAAAAATATGGAATGGAATGGAGTGGAATAGAGTAGAGTAGAGTAGAGTAGAGTAGAACAGAACAGAACAGAACAGAACAGAGTAAGGAATAGAATAGAATAGAATAGAATAGAATAGAATAGAATAGAATAGAATAGAATAGAATAGAAAATGTGGAATAGAATAGATTCGAATAGAATAGAAAATATGGAATGGAATAGAGTGTGGAATGGAATGGAATAGAATAGAATTCTTTATTGGCCAAGCGTGATTGAACACACAAGGAATTTGTCTTGGTGCAAATACTCTCAGTATAAGTGAAGGGTAGGGAGAATGGAATGGAATAGAATAGAAATTGGAATAGAAATTAGAATAGAATAGAATAGAAATTGGATGGGATTGGAATGGAATGGAATAGAACAGAATTCTTTATTGGCCAGGTGTGATTGGACATACAAGGAATTTGTCTTTGGTGCAAATGCTCTCAGTGGACATAAGGAAAAAAATAAAATACATTCATCAAGAATCATAAGATACAACACTTAGTGATAGTCATAGGTTACTAAATAAGCAATCAAATCATACTAGGAAACAAAACAATATAAATTGTAAAGATACAAACAACACACTTATAGTCATAAGTGGGAAGAGATAGGTACTAGGAAAGGTAAGAGGAATAATAGTAATACAGTCTTAGTAAATCAGTTGACAGTGTTATTTGTTTAGCAGAGTGATGGTGTTTGGGGAAAAACTCTTCTTGTGTCTAGTTGTTCTGGTATGCAGTGCCCCATAGCGTCGTTTTGAGGGAAGGAGTTGAAACACTTTATGTCCAGGATGTGAGGGGTCTGTAGATATTTTCACAGCCCTCTTTTGGACTCGTGCAGGGTATACAGGTCCTCCATGGAAGGCAGGTTGTTAGTCAATCGTCTTTTCTGCAGTCCTAATTACCCTCTAGAGTCTGTGTGTGTCCTGTTGGGTTGCAGAACCAAACCAGACCGACGACAGACTCAATAATTCCTCTGTAGAACTGGATCAGCAGCTCCTTGGGCAGTTTGAGCTTTCTGAGTTGGGCCAGAAAGAACATTCTTTGTTGGGCTTTTTTGATGACGTTTTTGATGTTAGGTGTTAGGTGTCCATTTTAGGTCATGTGATATTATAGAAGTTTGAAGGTCTCCACTGTTCATACAGTGTTGTCTAGTATTGTAAGTGGTGGACGTATAGGAGGGTTTCTCCTAAAATCTACCACCATTTCTGTTCTGGACTAGCAGGCTCGAAAGCCTGCAACTCTGATTGGCCCGCGAATTGCAGATCGTGATTGGTCACCGCAGACTGATCCGATTGGCTAGTAAACGGGCTGCCGCGATTGGCCCAGCCAAGAGCGGCAAACTCAAATCACCTTCATTGGCTGCCTAGCCGCAGCCAGCCCTATATAAGGGGCTGCTGCGGCTGGGATTCTTTGCTCAGATCTGAAGTCACTAATAAAGAGCTGTTGTTGTTATCTGAGTCTTGCCTCCGTTCTTGAACCATCCTCCCAGATCTAACAATTTCTATAGTTTTGAGTGTATTTAGTTCAAGATTGTTCTGGCTGCACCACGAGGCTAGTTGTTCAATCTCCTGTCTACAGGCAGATTAATTGTTGTCTCAGATGAGACCAATCAGAGTTGTATCATCTACAAACTTCAGTACTTTAACGGAGGGATCCTTTGAGAGGCAGTCATTGGTGTCTAGAGAGAAGACGAGAGAGCACACAGCCCTGGAGGGCTCCTGTGTTAATTGTACAGGTATCAGGTGTGATTCTGCCTACCTTCACCTGCTGCTTCCTGTCCGTTAGGAAGCTTATGATCGACTTACAAGTGTGGTCAGGTACAGGAATGCAGGAAAAGAGATGCGTCTGAGAATCCGGCATTGTGATTAACAATTTTGTATTACTTTATATTGTAGGATGCAAAGAAAATACAAAAACTAATAGTAGGAAAAATGGGGAAGGGAAGAGTGTGGAAAAGAAGAGAAAAAAAAAAGGCATTGATTTCCGACTCCTTTTGGTGCATTAGAATAAGGCATTAACATCAACTATTATTACATAATAGTTTAAACAAGCCCTTTTTTATAACAAGAAGTCTATCTAATCGGTAAAAAACAAAGTCAACGTTTCATTTTTTCTCCCACCTCAAGCACAAAGTCCAGAAGCGGTTTCCAGGAAGAAATAAAAGTATTTTGTTTTTGTTTTTATCAAAGTGTTGTGGCCGCCAGCGGTCAGCGGAGCTGGCGGCAGATTCAGACAGTGAGGAGGTTGGGGAGGAACATGGGCCAGTCCTGGAGTCTGGGGAAGGCTCGGACGAGGGCTCTGCATCGGAGGCAGAGATGGGGCCAGGGCCATCCGATAGTTATCAGCTGCCTTCAGAGTCGGAGATCAGTGGGGAAGAAGAACAGCTGGAGCCTGTTCCCAGGGTGCGCATGCACAGAGCTGCCAGAAGAAGGGAACAACTAAGGAACACGAGGCAGAGATGGGACCAGGGCCATCCGATAGTTATCAGCTGCCTTCAGAGTCGGAGATCAGTGGGGCAGAAGAACAGCTGGAGCCTGTTCCCAGTGTGCACATGCACAGAGCTGCCAGGAGAAGGGAACAGCTGAGGAACAAGGGTCGACTCGGGAGTAAAGCCACAGGTGGATGGTGAATGGCTCCTCCCATAGCGAATAAAGAGGAGTGAAAGGGGAGTGGGGCTTTGCAGGAGACAATTAGTTCATTTGGGTGAAGATCTTTTCCTACATTCTTGCCAAGTAATTGCTGCTACAGCATGGCATTTGGAAGCTATTAGCCTGGCAATTCTCCAAGCCTGATCAAGGTCTGTAGTTGTGAAATCTCATGAAAGACTGTTTGTCGGGACTTTGCTGGAGAGGAATTCACTTTAACCTTAATAAAAAGGGTTTTATTGGGACGAGGAGTTGGCTTCAGGTCAGAACACAAAGCAGTCAATTTAGCCGACTCTGCGAACTTTATTTTACTAACCTTGGAAGGATGGAGGGCTGAGTCGACCTTGAGCCAGTCAGGATCAAACTGTTAACAGTCGGCAGAATTAGCCTGCAATACTGCATTCAGACCACTAACTCTACAGCTCTAGTTTTTTTCATGGGAATTAAAACAAGAATTTCAACCTGAAGCGGAACCGGTGCTGGAGCAGTCTTCCAGCCACTGGCCAAGGTGCCTGAAGCATTGCTCGAGGGTGCCCAGGTATGCCTACGTACCATGTCCTCAGTGCACAGGTAAATCCTCCGACCTTCGGCACTGGCCTGGCAGTTGAAGAGTGCCACTCCCAGCTTGGCCAGTTCCTCTTCCGTGAGATCGGTGCAAGTGGAGCGTAGTTGTGAAATGACCTGGATCGGGAAAGGACAAGGAAAAGCACCCCCCCCCACACACACACACCATCAATTCACAGGTGCATTGGCCAACGGTGTCAGAGCAACCCAGGAGCAAAACACAGCACACAGAGACTTAGACATTTAACAGAAATATATGTGGTAGGCAAATACCTGACAATCAATCAATCTTCTTAACTCTGCATGGAGAATTCTACAACGAAGACAGGACACAAGGAGTAACACGACCTCTAATGACTGCCTATATAGAGATACCTCTTAAAGAGGTAAAAACTTCTGTGGACCCTTTCTTCATCTTAAAAGGGCAATACCCATGCTATGCCAATTCATCTTCATTGCATCAGCCTCATATTACATCAGCTTTACATCTGGCCAGCTCTTAAATCCCAATACCTGAACAAATGGGATGTGGGGAACGGCTGCAAAGGAGGAAACGGAGAGGTAGTCCTTCCATTGCTAAGGGAGGCATTTCTTAAATGAGTTTTGTCCCATTTTACAACCTTACTTGCCATGGTTGTTCAGTGAATCAGTGCAGTTGTTAAGTCAGTCACCCTTTGTTTGCCAGAAGGTCGCAAAAAGGAGATCAGGTGACCAGGGGGGGCTGCCACTGTCATAAATATGAGTCATTTGCCAAGCGTCTGAATTCTGATCACGTGCTCATAGGGATGACATCGTTAGTGTGAGAACCAGTCATAAGTCATTTTTAGAATACAAAAGAATACAAAAAATTGATTAGACTCAACTAGAATAAGAAAAGAATGGAGGAAAATTGGAACAGAATAAGAATAGGAATAAAATAGAATAAGAACAGGAATAGAATAGAAATAGAAAAAAATACAAAAGAATTGATTAGACTAAACTAGAATAAGAAAAGAGTAAATAAAATTAGGAATAGAATATGAATAGGAATAGAATAAGAACATGAATAGAATAAGAATACAAAAGAATTGATTAAACTAGGTTAGAATAAGAAAAGAGTAGATTAGAATTGGTGTAGAATAAGAATAGGAATAGAATAGAAATACAAAAGAATTGATTAAACTAGAATAAGAAAAGAGTAGATTAGAATAGGAATAGAGTAAGAATAGAATAAAAAAACAAAAGAATTGATTAAACTAGAATAAAAAAGAGTAGATTAGAATAGGAATAGAATAAGAATACAAAAGAATTTATTAAACTAGACTACAATAAGAAAAGAGTAGATTAAAATTGGAGTAGAATAAGAATAGGAATAGACATAGAATAGAAATACAAAAGAATTGCTTAGACTAGAATAAGAAAAGGGTAGATTAGAATATGAATAGAATAAGAATAGGAATAGAATAGAAATACAAAAGAATTGCTTAGACTAGAATAAGAAAAGGGTAGGTTAGAATATGAATAGAATAAGAATAGAAATAGAAATACAAAAGAATTGATTAAACTAGAATAAGAAAAGAGTGGATTAGAATAGGAATAGAATAAGAATAGGAAAAGAATAGAAATACAAAAGAATTGATTAAACTAGAATAAGAAAAGAGTAGATTGGAGTAGAATAAGAATAGGAATAGAATAGAAATACAAAAGAATACAAAAGAATTGCTTAGACTAGACTAGAATAAGAAAAGAATAGAATTGGAATAGGAATAGGAATAGGAATAGAATAGAGATAAAAGGGACCTTGGAGGTCTTCTAGTCCAACCCCCTGGTCAGGCAGGAAACGCTATATACCATTTCAGACCAATGGTTGTTTTTCAAGTGTCATAGTATTGGTCATTAGACAAACCGTTGTAAGTCGAGGACTTGCCTGTACACACACACACACACACACACACACACACACACACACCCACGTCTACAAAACGCCAGAGACCTTGTGATGGCAGGAATCCAGAAGGGACCGATCCGCCGCTTGAGCTTCAGCGAGGAAGCGCTCATCAGCCGTATCCATCTCAAAGGGCACCATTGCGAGGCCGGCTGGGTCTACCGCAGCAACTGCGGGCTCAGGATTGGGAGCGGGAGTTGGGGAGGCCTTTTGGGTGAGCCAGCCGAAAAACCCAGAGGAGGGGGCAACGACCAGAAGCAGGGGGAGGGGGAAAACGAGGGCCCAGCTGTGAACGGGCAGCATCTTCCGACGGTGCCTGGAAGTAAAGAAAAAAATAAAAAGCATTTTGTACCCGTAAAAGAGAGAGGATTCGTAGCGGAGGGTTGAACCCTGGGATCCTTGGTGCTCTCTGAGCTGGGTGGTTTCCTTGCAGACATTTCATGACCCAACTAGGTAACATCATCAGTGCTAGAAGGAAGAGATGTTTATGGAATAGAGAAGAGGAGGAGGAGGAGGAAGAGGAGGGGGACTGTGGGGTCCTTGGTGATTTTCCTGCAGAAGTTTCATGACCCAGCTAGGTAACATCATCAGTGTTGGAAGGGAGTGGAGTTTGCAGAGAGGAGGAAGAAAAGGAAAGGAAAGGAAAGGAAGGGAAGGGAAGGGAAGGGAAAGGAAAGGAAAGGAAAGGAAAGGAAAGGAA